AAAAATGTAAAATTTTTGCTAGTCTAGATTTTCGTTACTTTGGTTGTCGTAACTTATTTTTAGAATTTTTTTTTTTTGTTTTTTTATTTTCTTATATCAATAAATTTTAGGAAATTTACAAAAAACAGTGTTAACTATGATTAGTTTAGCATTTGTTTCTTAAGTGTCCCTATATGCCCAGCTCTATCCTACGTGCATTCAGGTTTAATATCACTTTTATTTAACGATGGAAATTATTCAGAGCTATAAAGCGTAAACATAGTTTTTAATTGAGAGTACAGAAGATTAATTATATTAGGAGGAGCTTAAATAATTCTGCCTATAGTATATTTTAGAGAACAAACTCAAAATTAATTTTTTAGCTGTATGTTTACATATAAATTTTTAGCTGTTTGTTTACATACTAAAATAATGTTAACATATTTTCATTCTTATTGAAGAAACTAAAAACCTTTTTTAATATAATTTGTTTAATTGAAAGTTGGATTAATTTGACAAGTTTTGATATCACAAAATTTCATCTTCCTTACTTTGAATTAATCTCTTTAGAGAGATGTTTCTTGAGCGTTGACTGTTAATTATGTACTCACAGTTTTCTAGAAATTTTAAAGAACGTTTATAAAACGTGCTGGAACGATCGCAAAAATCGTCGAAAGTGCTTGAACGTTTTGTGTTAGATGGGTAACTGGTTTTTATAAAAAGAAAACTCATACGAAAATTAAATGTATGGATTGGACTAAAAACGAAGGTTTAGTTGAGGGTTGGGTTGCACTGGAGGGTAAACTCAAATATAAAATTTTGTTTATATTAAACTATATAGACACGTGCTATATAATTGAACAAACAAAAATGTATATAGGGGAGAGTGGTACTGAATGGACCACAAAATTCAACTTTTTTGTAAAAATAATTTTTTCCCATATTGTCAACAACTATGGCGGATATATTAATTCAGAAGTCAAAATTAATACCTTAACTAACAATCCTTAAAAGTTGTAAACCATTGCGCAAACAGAACATAGGCAAAATGTGCGATAAATGTGACCCGTACCAAATTATTTAGTGGTCCATTCAGTACTGTTCCCGAATTAATATATCGGCTATAGTTATTAGCGATAGAGATATTGATCTTTTTTTATATAAAAAAGATCAATATCTCTATCGCTAATAACTATAGCCGATATATTAATTCGGGAGACAAGATTAATATCTTAACTAACTATTCTTGTATATTGTATATTATAATAAAAGTTGTAAACAATTGCGCATAACAAGTTACATTATGCAAAGCAATTAGGGTGATAAATGGAGTTTAAAAACAAGAAAGAAGTATGTTGAGACATTGATATTTCTGAATTAATTAATACAACTTTAGACCGAAGTCTCAATCAGATAATCAAATTACAATAATCACAAACATATTGGCTGGCATTATCTGCACTTGTGCAAGCTTTATGTGCCCAGCTCGCACACTGTCTGCAACGGTACCATACTTCGTTGTCACGACCCATTTCTTCACATATAGCACACAAATCGTAATTTGATGTAATACCTCCACAAAAATTTAAACTATCTTTGACACCATTATCATTTCTTTCAACAAGAATATCATCAGCCTCATCATTATTATATGTCATTAATGGAAACTTTAGAGTTTTTGAGTTGCTTGATTTCTTTCTTGATTTCCTTTGACGTTTATTTTTAGCATCTTTTTGTTTTTCAGAAAAGTTTTTTTTTTTTTAATTTTGCTGAAGTTATTGATTTCGAAGAGCCTCTTTAATTGGAGTATCAGTTAGAATCGAAGAGGAGAGCTTTTTGCGAGCACCTTTGGTTTTTTTTAAACGAGCTTTTGCAGAAGGATAAGGGCGTATACTTTCCACATTCAGGGTATTGCTAACATTTTTGTTGACTTTAACATTTCTATTTATTTCTTCTGAAACTGGATAGATGTTGAGTGCTTCAGGATTAGGTCTAATAACTTCTACTGAAACTGGATTAATATTGAGTGCTTCAGGATTAGGTCTATTAATATCAACTGAAACTGGGTTGATGTTAAGTGCTTCAGGATTAGGTCTAATAATTTCTAATGACACTGGATTGATGTTGAGTGTTTCAGGATTGGGTCTATTTGTAACCTGAGATAAAAAAAAATCCTCATCCTTCCACCGATCAGGTTGAAAAGGACTTATTCCAGATACTGAAAAACCACTAATGATGTTAACTGGCATTGATACTTTTGCTCAAGCCTTTCCAGAAATTTCTGCAATGTCATAGATTGAAACAGTTTTTCCTGGATGTGATACCAACCAGCTATCACGATTATAATGACGTTTGAAAGGTCCATACACTGTTATATCTAACGGCTGTAGTTTGTGTGATGTATGGGGTGGGATTGTTAAAATAATTACACCATTATCTGATGCTAAGTCAATGAAGTTAATTGACATATGAGACTCATGATTATCTAGTATCAACAGCACAGGGTTTGTCTTAGATGGTCGAACACTTTTTATAAAATGATTAAACCACTCCATAAAGGTTGATTCCACCATCCACCCAGATTTGTTGGCAGTGCCAACAGAATCAGGAATTTAATTTCGCAGAAAAAAATCTTTAAAATGAACACGTGGAAATATGTAGAATGGTGTTATTGAGGATCCACTTGCATTTACTGCATTGCACATTGTTACCAAGATACCTCGTTCTGCACTTGTAACAGAAGCAACTTGCCTCTCTCCTCTCTTGGCTAAAACATGCTCTAGCACTTGTACAGTAGTAACACCAGTCTCATCAACATTCCATATATCATTTGGTGAAAACTTGTATTTAATCAAAAGACTTTGCAGATTATTATTAAATAGATTTACATTATACTTGTTGAATGCTGACATTCGACCAATTGATGTTGCCTCTGGTTTTCTTATAACAAGTTCTGGATGACGACTTAAAAAAGCTCTAAACCAATCTACACCTGCATGTTTATTTGTTTCCCAAGGTTTAGCAGAACCTCGACGAGAATGTGGACACTTCTTCTCAAGTTTGAGAGCATATTCAAATGTTAGTGCTCTTAGCTTAATAGGACTTAACCCATATCCCATTTTTGCAGAAACTAAACAATATTGAACCAGCTCTTGTTCTTCTGTTACTGAAAAAATTTTCATAGAACTGTTACTATATGGAACACATTGCAATTTATTCAATCCATTTTGAGATAGTTGAGCTTCTTTTATTCGCCTCTTAAGAGTTGAACGTTTGACTCCAAATATCTCAACAGCTTTTCTTTCAGATAGAGTTTTATTTAAAACATTTTCAACTGCTTGGATCATATTATTGGGATCCCAATCACCTTTTAGTGCTGCTGCTTTTCGATGTCTCATAATACTTCTGAAATAAATAAAACTTGTTTATAACCATATTATTAAAAAAAATTATCGATGTTATTTTATATATATATATATATATATATTTTTTTTTATTTTATTTTAATTCACCTCCTCAAGGCCGAGTAGGCCACTACAGACAAGGAGGCTACTTATTTTGTGGATATAACCCTCTCTCAACTCTATAACTCCGAAACACGAACCTTGACGAACAAGGCCGCTGCGCGGAGAAGCGGTACTACCAGGGACGTGGTGGGGATCGAACCCGGAACCACTCGTTTATGAAGCGAGCGCTCTACCACTACACCACTACCGCATATATATATATATATATATATATATATATATATATATATATATATATATATATATATATATATATATATATATATATATATATATATATATATATATATATATATATATATATATATATATATATATATATATATATATATATATATATATATATATATATATATATATAATATATATATATATATATATATATATATATATATATATATATATATATATATATATATATATATATATATATATATATAATATATATATATATATATATATATATATATATATATACGCAGTGGCTACGGTACCGGCTGCTGGATCTTTAGCTCTAGCAGCTAGAGTACCGGCTAGTCTGGGTTCTAGCTAATGACGATGACGTAACTTTTAGATGGTTTACTTATCATCCGCAGTAGTTTTAGGAAACCGGTTGGTAATATTTATTTTATTTGAGGAAAATGAATGTTGGAAATCTGTTTAATTGTTTTAATAATCCTTAATAAATATTTAAAAAAATTATATTTTTATACGTTCGTGATTTGTTAAAACTGATAAATTATATTTTAGTTATTTGTTAAACTTTACTTGTTATACTTTACTTGTTAAACTTTACATATTATACTTTACTTGTAAAACTTTACTTGTTAAACTTTACATATTATACTTTACTTGTTATACTTTACTTGTTATACTTTACATTTTATACTTAACTTAATAAACTTTACTTGTTATACTTTACATTTTATACTTTATTTGTTAAACTTTACTTGTTATACTTTATTTTTCAAAATTTACTTGTTATACTTTACTTGTTAAACTTTGTTTTTCAAACTTGACTGATTGTACTAATTTGTTTAAAAGCAACCATTGAAAATTATAATGTATAAATAGTGTAAAAAATACATAAAATTAAAACTTAAGACTTTACATAGACTATGTTAATATGTTAAGCTATGTTAGGCTATGTCATAGCATTTTATGGAGAAGAGTTAATCAGTTGTGTTGTGTTTTTTCTTAAATTAATTTTTGTGTTTCAATAAAATTTATGTATTTTATCAGTAAGTAAGGGACCAAAAAACAAAATTTACTTGTTTTTTGTTGTTCATGGTTTTACTCCCAAAAACCATTTTAATGTGTTTTTTTTTTTTTTGTTTTGTTTTAAATTTTCAAAATTATAATGGTTTTTGTAATTGTTTGGTGCTATTGTTTTTTTGAGCTTCAATGACTGCTTAAATCCATAATATTATAATTTAATGTTAGTTTTGTATTAATACTTTTTAATATTGACCCCGTTCATATCCATACCTTTTCAGAAACAAGATATAACATTGTGATACCATATATTAATACAGTTTGCAAAGAAACGCTTAATACTTCTACATGCTCAAGCTGATTCATTTGGAATTGGTTATAGTTGTAGTTTTATTTACTTGTAAAGTTTTTTCACTGTTAATATGTCAGTTTTACATTATTACATAATTTGTTTACTACTAATACAATACTTACACTACAGTTTTCAATATTTAAAATATATAAAATTGTTGTAATTTTTTGTTACACCTTTAGTCTCTTCCTTCAGCCAGTTCCATTTTATGTTGCTAGAATGTTTTCATCTTTCTCACAAAACATTGGTATCCAATTTTTTGGTTGGCACATATGGTTCCTTGTCTAGATTGATACTATTTTATTGAAGGGCATTGCATGGTAATGAATTTTAAGGACTGCTATAAAATAACTATCAAACAGCTATCATTTTACTTCCCATAAAATTATATATTAATAATTTTTGGCAACTTGATTTTCATTAGTGATTAGTGATTTTCAAATGTATTGATTTAGGGTTTGGTAACAACATCTTGTTTTCATCAGAAGTTGGTCAACTTGCTATAATTACTATATGTATATGTTATGATATATTGAAAATTTTAATATTTGTCTTGATATGACTTTAAGTTATGTCATGACAGATGAATTTTCATGAATTCATGATGTGTTAACAACTTGATGTGAAGTTAATTTTACAATAAAAAATGATGAGTTTAAAAAAGCAAAAAGGTTAGTTTTTTATTAATTCATCATAAATTTGCAGTTCAAATTTTACTTTTTATACTTTATTTGTTAAAATTTACTTGTAATAAATTACTTGTTACTTTAAAAAAAAAATTCTATACAGATCTAATCAAATACACTTAAAACACACCACAAAACCTGCACCAAACTTTTATTGTGAAGATTTTAATCTTATTTTTAAACCAAAAGTATAACTTTTAAGTTAACTTGTAAGCTGGTATTTAATGGCATTTAATAAATAAATGATATTTAATTACATTTAATTAATTGTATTAAATACCTTTTATATAATCTTATATATAATCATGTTTTTATTTTTGCATTGCATGGTGAGTGGCATATTCAGAACGATTTTGAAACATTACTTCAGTTTAAATGCCCAAATTCCAGTACTTATTAATTCATAACATTTTTGAATAAGTGTTTTATATAAAAAGTAATAGATAAACCTATAAATATAAATGTAAAAATACAGTAGCATACAAAAGTTTAGAAACACCTACTTTTTTTCAGTTTTTAACGCATAACTTTTCACAAACTTTTTCAAATAACCTGACATTTTTAACAAATGTGCTCTATATAATTACAATTCAAAATCCATTTCACAAAATTTTTAAAACTCGCCGGTCAATGAATTTTTATTGTTTTTTTGAAAAGGCTTCCGTGCAAAAGTATAGAAACAGTATAATAACCCGCAATTATATCAGGTTTTTGTAAACAAAATCATTATAAAAGGTCAAATTTTTTCCGAAGTTATTTGAATTACCGTGAGGTTATTCGAATTACCTTGAGATATTTCAATTATTTGAATTACCTTGAGATATTTCAATTATTTGAATTACCTTTAGATATTTCAATTATTCGAATTACCTTGAGATATTTCAATTATTCGAGTTACCTTAAGATATTTCAATTATTGAGACTGGTAGATTATTAGTAAGGTATTGCAAGAATACTCCTCACATGACTGCTGTCGAACTTAATTCAATTATGCATCAGATTCATGGCACAAACTGTAGCGTTGATACAACTAAACGCCGATTATGACAAAATAATCTGTATGGTCGCCGTTCAGTTAAGAAACCTCTTATATCTGCAAAAAATTTAAGAACCAGAATAAAATTTGCAAGAGATCATCTCAGTTGGACATATAATGATTGGTCAAAAGTTCTTTTCTCCGATGAATCAAAGTTTATGCTATTCAGTAGTGACGGTATTAATGTCATACGTCCAATAGGAGACTGATTCAATCCAAAATATCAGTTACCTACTGTTAAACATGGAGGAAGAAGTGTTATGGTTTGGGAGTGTTTTAGTCGTGACAACCCATTCATCACATAGAAGGTATTATGGACCAGAGAGTTTATTTATACATAATAAAGAACATTACCCTGCCACATGCAAAAGACAAAATGAATCGCAATTGGATCTTTTAACAAGATAATGACCCAAAGCATTGTACCAGATCTGTTAAGGAATATTTTCAATCAAAAAAAGTCAACAATCTTGAATGGCCTTCACAGAGCCCAGATCTCAATCCCATTGAGCATCTTTGGGAGTACATTGACAGGCAATTAGTTGGTAGAAAACCAACCAACAAAGACAATTTATTTGCTTTGATTAAAGAATGTTGGTATAATATTCCTCATGATGTTCTCATTAAATTAGTTGATTTGATGCCTCATTGCTGTGATGCTGTTTTAAATCACTACCAATTTTTCTACACCTTTTTTTTTTTTTCGACAAAAATAACAAAAGATAATTAATTTTTTATTTTATTTTGTAGAAGTTTTTGTGTTTGCATTTTTGTTTTGTAACTTTTGCTTTCATTTGGTAGTTTTAGTGTTTGAGCAAAATTTGTTATTATTTGCACGTTTGTTGCTAATTATTTTTATTTTTGCTTGCTGTTGTTATTGAGTGCTTTCATATTATTTGTCTTATTATTTAACTTATTATAGTTTTATTATTATTAGTTTTTTTTTAATGTAATTTACGCATGCTTTTATTTATTACCATTGTTGTTAATCTTTTTGTTTGT